GTAACTCCATCTTTAGCTTTAGATAGCAATTTCATGACTTTGGCCTAGTTGAACAATTCTGATCCTCATACTACTTGTCGTTAAGCACAAATTCATCTGTTCTTTTTTGTTTGTTTATGGGTGAATGCAAACAGTTCATATATTTTTTGCCCCCAAGTGATATTTTAACTTGAACCGGATTCCATTGTATACTGTACACTCATCTTGTAATCTTTAATTGTCGGACTTTTGGTGCATAATAGACCCTCATTTTGTGCAAGTGGTGAACTGCTGAAGGTGAAAAACTTCACGGAAAACCAAGTTCATCAGTTTCTCCTACTCAGTCATCTCCACTTATAAAAGGATTATGCCATTACCCATAACAAAAATAGAAGGATCATTCCATTTATGATTTTCCAGCAATGACATTTCCATTGGGAGCCTTAATAGGAGAATGTTTAAGGATCCTCTTTTTGTGTTAATGGTAGAAATTTATGATAATATAACAAGTTATAATTGCTAACGCAATAATAATAAAGGGGAAACAACCAGTTCTCTTATTCTCGAGCAACAACTGTTTTTATCCACGCTACAATCGCTTGTTGGTTTGAGTTTGGACAGTTTAGAACAGTCTAAATTACACCAACGCTTGTCTGGTAAAATTATTCATGGCGTGGAATAACATTTTGGCATAGCATTGATTAGGCTTCTATACAAACTACTCCCTCCATTTCAATTTATGTGAACCTATTTAGCGATGAAGAATTTTGAAACTTGTGGCACTAAACAAGTCATAACATTTGTGTGGCTATAATTCTTTTGCAATTTGTGGTCTAGAATATGCCATAGTTTTTGTGTGGCTTTAAAAGCTTCTCATTGAGGTAAAATTGGAAGTTTTCAGTTAAATTGTTTCCAGATTTAGAAATGGGTCATTCTTTTTGGAACAAACTAAAAAGTAAATAGGTTCACATAACGGGAATTGAGGAAGTATATATTAGGCGGATAATCTGATCCACCATTAGCACGTCCATTCAGTTCATTATAAAGAAACAACAACAATACTCGATTTATTGCTGTTTAGGTGGAAACTTATGTCTTAAGAAGTCTGATGCTTATTTAATTATATTCTGTGCATGCTAGGGGATTCATCCATCAATAAAAGGGGCTGTCTGGGAGTTCTTGCTGGGTTGTTTTGATCCCAATAGCACATTTGAGGAAAGAAATGAGCTTAGACAACGGCGAAGGTAATCTAACTCACTTCAGTTATAACCAAAGAGTTAAACTGGTTTAATGTAGATAACAAATAATAGAAGTAAAAATCAGCAATCAAAACTATAGGGGTTATGCATTGAATTTTGTTCAATTTGGTGCATGAATCCATGCAACTGTCAAAGGGCCCTCAGTGTAAGTTACTCCCTCCATCCCAATTTATGTGATTGGGAATGGAGTTTAAGAAATAGAGACAAATTTTTGGAACTTGTGGTCTAAAATGAGCCATGATATTTGTGTGGATATAAATCATCTCACCAAGGGTGAAATGAGCTTTTTAAAGTTAAATTGTTACTAAATATAGAATGGTGTCATTCTTTTTAGGATTGACTAAAGGAAAGAGTGTCACATAAATTGGGACGGAGGGAGTATGCAACAAATTTCTCATGTTCATAGAGCTATTCCTATCAAAGTGCAACTTTATCATCTAGTTAGGTCAGAGCACGAGGTGAACCAACTTGGACTCGGCCGGCGAGTCTTGTTTAATTAAAGCTCTCCATAAGGTCGAATCAAGCTTGGGCCAAGTGTCTTAGTTCAAGCTTGGTTTAGTTGATGTTCTTATTAAAAGGACCCTTCGCTACAGGTGCTAGTGGAAATTAACCCCTTGATCATTAAATTCTCCAATATCTTGATTCTTGAGTCTTGACATTAGATTGAAAATGAGTGTTGCAAAACAGTTAATTGTGTCTTATGTTTATTAGACCCGACTCCAAAGGGAAAAAAAGAAGAGTGAAGTAAAAATGTGTTATTGCCTGGAAAACAAAATTTATAACATGATACTGTCACTATCAGCTGAAAAGACACCTGTGCCTTCTTCTTCCTCCTTATAGCGTTTTTTTTCCTTTTGGGTAAATTCTTACAACCTACTTTATGAGTGGCCTAAAAATCTGAATTTGTATCCTCAGAGAGCAGTATGCTGCATGGAAATCTGAATGCCAAAAGATTGTACCTGTGATTGGCAGTGGGAAATTTACCACAAATGCTATAGTCACTGATGATGGTCAACCTACAGAGCATGCGAACACTTCCAGTGATGCACAAGATACTAACAGTGCCCTGCCAGTCGATAATGGCGTTTGTGACAAGAAAGTTATTCAGTGGAAGCTTAACTTGTCCCAAATTGGTTAGTACTCGTGCCACTACTATTCTCTAGTTTCAATATGCTAACTTTATACATTCTATAATTGCTGTGGAGCTCCCTATATCTATCTTTTTATCTCTGCCTGTCTCTTAGAAAAACTTGAATGTCACTTATACATTCTCTTTCCACTCCGTCTGTTAATGTTTTTTGTTCGTGTCCTCAAATACATTCCAGTTTGAACAATTAATTCCCAATAATCAACTGTTTTCCCACTTTGCTCTTCATGAATTATGCTTTTTCGACCAAACTTAAATAGTTAACATAACTATTACTTTGACGTAGTTCTCAGTTGTGCAGAATATAACCAAATTTTATTGACCTAAAGATGTTTGCTCCTTACCCCCACCCACCCCCATTGGATATGGTATTTGAGATGAAGGGATTGATACATGCAACATTGCTTTTCCAACATAATAATTATGTGTGAAAAAATTGTGTCAGTTAGTCATTGTGTAGTCCAATGAAATTCAGATGTGGGGGAAGAAGAATTGAATGCTGAAAGAGCGTTTAGATTTTGAATGAGCGACTCAACCTTTTGACATTTCTTTGGAGCTGGTCATTTATCACTTGTGAGCTGCTACAAAATACAGATGAAAGACTATAAAAGGTTTTGGTTAGAGAGATGTGCTATGTTCAACAAGTGATGAGACAATGACATCTTTTTCTTCATTGCTAGTTATACTCTAGAGTTAGATGCTGAGTTAAAGAGGGAACATGTCACTTAAAGAGATAATAAGTGGCAAAAAAGTGAAATTGCAATCTCATAGTGGAATATTGTCATTGCTTAGTGCACTATTTTTTGGCTTTGGTAAGGAAGCTAGTTCATCAATTGTAGACTGATTTTCCTGAAAATATCTGATACTGTAATGGCTTATGATGTTGCTTTAGGTCTGGATGTTGTTCGCACAGATCGTGCTCTTGTATTTTATGAGAATCAAGCTAATCAGGCAAAACTCTGGGACGTGCTTGCTGTCTATGCATGGATGGATAAAGATATTGGTTATGTTCAAGGTATTTTATCAGTATTTTAGAAACTAATTTTTAATAATATCAAAGCCATTCATAAAACTTTTGCCCTTATTTTATCTGCACAGGGATGACTGACATTTGCTCCCCAATGGTTATTCTACTTGAGAATGAAGCAGATGCATTCTGGTGCTTCGAACGTGCAATGCGTAGATTGGTATGCCTTCATTGTTTCTATTCATGGTTGTTACATACCTAAAATAAATGAATAAATAAATGTGTTCCTTAAAATAAATGAATAAATAAATGTGTTCCTTCTCTAACATCTTAAGTTTTTAGATGAGATTGTCACAAAATTCAAAATGGCATCATAGAAAAGTTAAAGTCTTAAGTTCAAGTCTCAGTGCCGCTCATTGGCGCGAGAGAAAAATGTGAGAGGACGTGTTGCAAACCTAAAATGGATAATGTGTCCCCAATAAACTTGCACATATATTTATGCGATTCTTTCTAAAAACTTGTTCAATGTTTTTGCTAATTATTTCCTATGTTTCTGCCATTACTGAGCATATAACAAATCCATGTCTGCTTCATCAACAGCGAGAAAATTTCAAGTGCACCACAAATTCGATAGGAGTGCAATCTCAACTAAGTACCCTTGCACAAATTGTTAAAACTGTTGATCCGAAGCTTCATCAACACCTTGGTAAGAGGTTGCTTTTCTTTATATTTTTTCAAGTAGCTATTCCCATGTAAGAAGTAGAGAACACAAGGTCTTGTCAGTGCTGTTAATTTTCCTAGCATGCCATATCATATAGTTCTCAGTACTAGATAGATAAATAATATCTAGTATAGGTCTTAGTGAAAAATTTGGGCTTTTTGTGAGTTAGAGCGCTTTGTATTTTAGAGAAATTTAACTTATTTCTGTTAGAGGCTGCACAACGTGTTTCTATATATGCTTCAGCTTGTGCTTTTATCCGGTCTCATTCTACTGTAGTTCTCTCTAACAACTTAAGCTTTTAGATGAGATGGTCACATACTTCAACATGGTATCAAAGCAGGCAGAAGTCCTAGGTTCGAGTCTCACCGCCATCCAAATTATCAAAAAGAATTTTCACGTGCTTGGCTCATAAAAAAGAATCAAGCCCACACGTGAGGGGGCGTGTTGAGGACATAATTAAGTAAATAAAAGTGTGTTTCTCTAACAGCTTAAGCTTTTAGATGAGATGGTCACACACTTCAATAGTAGTATTAATTGGCTTTACACATTACATATTGTGACTTGATTCTAAAGCCTGCTTTGCATTCTGACGATATATTCTATAAAATCGTGATTTATCTTGTTAAGCTTTAAATGCATGCAGGCCAAGTTTGTTATTGACTGCCACAAGACGTACATATTAGGGGTGTGCATTCGAATCGGTTTATCGATAAATCGAATCGATTATTTATTATTGGTTTATCGATATCGGTTTATCGATTTATCGACTTCGATTTCGATTTCGAAATTTTCCTTATCAAGTTATCGATTTCGATTTCGATTTTGTCCTCTTCGGTTATCGGTTTATCGATAAACCGATAAGATATACTAAAAAGACAAATATACCCTTATTCTATAATACCCTTTCCTTTACCCTAAGTCCCTAACCCCATCTCCATCTTCGCTGCTTGTGGCGCAACTCACAGCCTCTCCTCACTCTCATTTCATCTTGCGAAAATGGTTCTTTCAAATGATTACGATTTGTTGAACCCGCCAGCAGATGTTGAAAAGAGGAAGCATAAGCTCAAACGTCTTGTTCAGTCTCCTAACTCTTTCTTCATGGATGTTAAGTGCCAAGGCTGCTTTAACATAACAACTGTGTTCAGCCATTCTCAGACGGTGGTTGTTTGCGGAAACTGCCAGACAGTTTTGTGCCAGCCTACTGGTGGTCGTGCTAGACTTACCGAGGGATGTTGTTTCAGGAGAAAGGGAGATTAGAGAGATAGCATTCGATTTATATTGAAATGAATCTTCATATGGGAATTTTGATGCAGTACTCTATTTTCATTTTCACTACCTAGTCTTAATTAAGAACAAGTGTTTTTGAGTCTCTCCCAGACCCCACTAGTGGGATTTTAACTGGGTATGTTGTTCTTGTTGTTTTTGAGTCTCTACTATGACTTGATTATGTTATGGTTCTAATTTGAGTTAAAAAAAAAGTCCCTAACCCTATTATTTCCTCTACCGTTGGAGTGTTGGTGGCATACATTTGATCCCTTACTTTAGTTTCGTTACATGTGCTTGTTGACACAATTTTTATGTTATAAACGATGTTCGTCTTATTTTAGCTTCTTTTTGTCCATATTAGTTAGGCGTGTTTATAGCGATATACTTTCCGTGGAATCCCGCAAATTTTCTTATTGGTGTAATCGATAACCGAATCGATAAGCCCCAAAAATCGATAAATCGAAATCGAAACCTTATTGAAACGATAACGATAGGCATATGTACAAATCGATAATCGATAAGTAATTATCGATAAGGGTCAAAATCGAATCGATAAATCGAATGCACACCCCTAGTACATATTATACTTGAAGTGATGCAGGCAATATAAAGTATAAACACATTGTTTAGCACCTATCAAAAAATTAAATTAAATTAAATCATCTAGCAGTCCCTTTGCAGATTCTGATGGATAATTTGAATGTCTATACCGTTTATTAAGTTGGGGCCAAACTCACATATCATAATGTTAATCATCGTGAAGAATGGATTTTCCCTGTTAAAAATGGCCCTCATATATGTTGTATGGGACACTGGGGATAGAGCAGAAAATTTTCATGGAAATATCTTGGCAATCTAAATTGTTTTAAGGAATTCACAAACTGCAATCTTGACCAGAGTCTAAAACAGGGAGGAGAAAGTCTAACATAGAGTTAACTCTCCTTCTCTCACTCACCGACTTCAATTGTAATTGGCAGAGGAGTTAGATGGTGGAGAATATCTATTTGCGTTACGCATGCTGATGGTACTTTTCCGCAGAGAGCTCTCATTTGTCGATGCACTCTATCTTTGGGAGGTGAGAAGCTCAAACTTCTTTTCACATTATTGTTTGGTAGACAGAAGAAGATATTGCAAAATAGTTTGTCCTGGTGTTTGGTGTAACTGACTGGAGTGAGACACTGGTCTTTGCTTTGCTTTTGATAGACATGATTGTTTTACAGAAAAAGCCTACCCCTACTCGTGTTTACACAAACCCAATAAACATATGACATGTGTATTTGCATAAACTATTATCACTTAATCATAAGTAGTTAATTAATACACATTCTCACCTCAATTTTATGACTAACCATGATAAACTGATGCAGTTTGGTGTAAACACTGGGTGTGAGCAATTTTGTTCCATTGTTTTACTTGGCACATTCTTAACTTCTTACAAGAAAAGGGTTATTCAACTTGGCGATCTGTGGATTTTGTGTTTTCCCAGAGTATCACATAAATTAGTTTGACATAAAGGACGAGGGTATTTATATCTTCAACTGTGAAACAGGACGAGTGATGAGCAAATGTAGGCTGGAATTATTTTAGTCTTCTAACTGATATTACTTTTGTACATACTTCATTCAGGTGATGTGGGCCATGGAGTACAACCCAAAGATATATTCACTGTATGACAACACACGGGAACAACTTCCCGAGCTAGTATATGATGTTAAAGTAAATGATAAGCAGCTAAAGCAGTATGGCAAATTTGAGAGGAAAAAAGTGAGAGCTGGTGCAACAAAACAGAATGATGCCCTTGCCATTTTCCTAGTTGCAAGTGTTCTTGAGACCAAGAAAAAGCGGCTTATGAAAGAGGCAAAGGGCCTAGATGATGTTGTCCAGGTCTCGTTTCAATCTCTCTCCTTGTCTGTGTATTTCACATTATTGTATCTCTTTGGTCCTGACAGCGACATCGTTTCCAGATTGTGGGTGAGATAACTGGGAATTTGGATGCAAAGAAAGCACTAAATAAGGCTCTGAAGGTTCATAGGAAATACTTGAACAAGGCAAGTTTCTTTATTCACCGTTCTCTGCTTCACCCCCCCCCCCCCACACCCCACCACCACCACCAAACACACACACACCCCTCAAAGGAAAAAGGAAAAAGAAGAAAGGATTTAAGTTATATACACTGACAGGTATAAAATTTTAACACTAGCAAATGTTTTTTAACCAATTGTAGTAGGTTATTTGTCTTATTTTTTAGGTTACTAATCCAAATTGTTTTGGACAATTAAATGTAGTTATCTTTTAGATAACTTGATAGTGTAAAATTAGTCAGTGTATATAAGTTAAATTCAAGAAAAAATTCCTCCCACCGCTCCTTCAATCTGGTACATGAACATTGATATCAACATTTTAGTTGTCTCATACTATACTTAATGCAGGTCAAAAGATGCTAGTTCGAGTTGCTATTCCTCACTGCAGCAAGCACCCCCTTTGGTCAAAATTTTGTTGTATTTTTTAAATTTTTTATTTCCATTTTTTCTGGTGGGAGTGACTTCTCCCTCTTTTATTGATGAGTGGGTCTCTCTTCTAGAACACGGACCCTGTGTAAATGCGGGACGCTTCGTTTTTTTTCTCTTCTTGCATTTGGTGTGTAATTGTTTCTCTTTTTGTTACAAAGAGAGGAGATTGTACATAATAGTTTTGATATGAGATGTACATGATGTATTCTGGTGGTTGAAATATTTGATATCACATTCTTGAATCAGAGAATATAGGAGCATGAAATCATAGAGCTTCATTTTGTCCATCTTTCTTGTTTTAAGATTATTTTCTATGATGATTCACCAGCTTTCGTCTCAAATATGCTCCTTACTCTAACGGATGTCCATCTTGGCTCCGACATATACCGGAGATTGGAGCACCTGTGTATAAACTTCCAGCATATTATGCTGGATCAATATATTATGCTGGAACTCTAGTATATTATCTTGAAAATTCAGTATATTTTTTGAACGGTCGTTCAGATTTATCTTTACACGAAAAGTGGCTAAATTTCGATTACTTTTGAAATCGTGGCTATTTTTCAATTACCACTTAAAAATCTGGCTATTTTTGAATTTCACCCAAGTTAACAGTGAAGGTTTTAATGGATCAATAGGTAAGCAAAAGGTAAATATAAGAGAAATCACAACTTTGAGGGTATTTTTGAACTTTTTCCATTGAAAATAACAAAAAGATCACGACAATTTTTTGTTTATTTATTCAAAACGTATAAAAAATTGATTGGAGGTTTTGAAGAGGATGAATTATATTTAATATAAAATAGAAGGAAGTTATCTCGAAAGAATTATAATTTTTTGGAATAATGCGGACTTATTAGTGAAAGTATTACACAATTAAAGCAAAAGATTCAACTAGGCAAAATCAACTAATTGTATGTGTATACTAAGTTCCAAGCTCGCTAAGCATCCTTTTTTTTTTTTTTTTAAATTATTATTGTTTATTTATTATGTTAAGAAATATGTATGTGACATTATACCTGTTATGAAACAATAAAAGAAGAAGAAGAATATTGCAGAGAAAAGTAGGGAGAGAGAATTCTTATTGATTTGGGATGAATTGCAATAGAATAGAACCCTCTATTTATAGGGAGAGAGTGACTTAGCCACCAAGCAATGAATCCTAGAATCTCTCTAAATATAGACATTCACCATAAATACAATTCTATTTATAACACTCCCCCTTGAATGTCTATTCAACAGATAATGTGCCTCGTTAAAACCTTAACTAAAATAAAACCCATAGGGAAAAAATTCTAGAGAAGGAAAAAGAGTACACATATCTAACAATACGCCTTTTGGTTGCCTCGTTAAAAATGTTGCAAGGAAAACCCAGTGGAACAAAATCTTGTAAGGAAAAAAGAGTACAACGCGTATTAACTCCCCCTGATGAGAGAATCAATTCACATCTTTAAGCATTTGCATTCCAATCTTGTGCACCATCTTCAAAAGATCTTTGGTAGAGATTTGATGAACAAATCAGTCATATTAACTTGAATGAATATATTGCACCTTGAAATCATCATTCTTGATAGAGATGAATTGTCTTCATATGATCTTGTTGGAATCGTCAGTTCAATATCTTCACATAGAGGTGAAAACTCTTGATATCATATTATCATGCCTATAGTTATAGCAAGATACATTTGTGCACAAATTGCACTGAGGAAGTGGTACTTCAAGATCAAGAATTGTATATGCTTCAAGCGATTTAAATCCTTCAAGGATTGTCATATAAGTCATATAATAGACTTTAATTAGATGCATATCAAGTTTTCATGTCATGCTAGACAAATAAGATATCGAAAACTGATTGCACATATCATTGACTTTATACTTTCAAGTGTTTGAACTGCAGGTCCAAAACTACATGTCTTTCATATGAAACCAATTCTATTCGAAATTGTTTCTCCAGACTTAAGATCCTCATATATATTTAGCGGTATCATAGATGTCATCGACGAACATTTTATATCGGTTCCAACCTCCTTATTTTTCATAAAGACATAACATAGAGATCTCTTCATTCATATATTCAGGTACCTGAATCACTCATGAGATTTTATGAAGTGTTATGTCATGTGATCTTCTAGATCACTTGCCTCCTTTATTATGATCATTTGCTCATCTTCTTTATCAAAAAGTTTATTTGAAACCGATTTGTCTATACGCTTTAAGAGTACCATAGACTTTGTCCTTCTAGGACTTATTCTAATAGGAGCATTTGCAATGAGAATATAGTTAGTTTCTTTAGGTCAGCAAATGCGTCTAGCATACTTTGCAATATATTGCAGATGAATTATCTTTTTATGAACTTCAAGTTCATATTATCGTATTCGAGGATCTAGATCTAGATATACAAATGATAATTCATTCCACGTAACTTTTTCTCAACTGTTTATCATGTCTCTCCCTCATGTTAGAAAAACTAACTTGTTTCCTCAACTTTGAGAACACATCTTTGTGCATTATTTGGTTCCTGACCCTGAACCACTTGTGAGGGGAGAAAATAATATACTTTCGTATATAACGTATATCAAACTGATATACAAAATTTTGTTCCCATAAGCAATTGTTTAGCTATTAAGTGGAGGTACTCAATAAATCATTTTTCTAAACCAACTGTGATGTAAACCAACTTATCAAGATGAACTATCTTGAATAAAAAATCTGGAAATTATGTTCTAAATCAAATTATTGAGCAAGTTACCTCACAAACACCGTGTTGCGGGTTAATAATAATCGCACATGTAACCATCTCATAGATGCATCTTATGTGGTGTACATGGCAGGTGAATGGGCCCGTATTCACCTTTGATATTTCCAATATTCATGGAATTCAATCCCAATTTTAGTTGATCTATTAATTAATGAGAACAAGCAATATAAGAGAATTCGTAAAGAACTTTCTAGTTCTTTAATATTTACCCATGTGAATTCTCTATTATTTTTGCACATCATACTTAAATTGATATGGCTAAACCAATTGTACCAACTGAATAAATTATCAATATTGATAAACTTCATATTTACACCATGACGTGTGCAATTATCAAAAAACTCCAAGTTTATTATGATATGGGTTTTTATATCAATAAATATCCACTTCATTGTGGTATTCTTTTGTTTATGTAGTACAAATTGAAGAATAAAGCGGGTAGCTTTTCACATACATATTATCCCGCTACAAGTTGTAGTAATAGAAGATATTAAATCTTTTCTTTATTTATTGTCTCAATATAATCAATCGCTTTCGCGTATACTTTGGAAACTGAATAAGTTTCTTTGAGACTTACTACAACACAATACCTTATTGATAATCAATTTTATTCCTCCAAAATAATAATAATAATTGGCTCTTCCAGAGCTCTCAATTAATTTTGTACTACCACACATTCATCAACATCATATGGTGAATATCTCTTTTAAAGAGAAAGTTATACCATTATAGTCATGATCAAAGTTATATGCAAGATATGTTTCTTGCATTAATGTTATTCTTTAATAATCACATTACCAAAATATTTTGGCGTACAATAAGTACGTGACCAATGACCATTTATGCCATAATAATGACATTATTTTCTTATATCATCTCAAACCTCCCTCTAGAGGTGAGTGTGGTATATTCACTACCACTAGCACGTTCATATTCTTCCAAGAATGAATATGCATTAATAAATAAGATGTTGTCACATTCACATCATGAATGGACCATAATCATTTATATGTGGTTTATAAAATCTCATGTCAAATCGATGACAAATATTACTTTCACAGAGTGAAGGATTATTTTGAGAATCCTTATTATTCTCATTATCACAATGATGACGATTATAATTTCGTCTATTGCCACGTCCACATCCATTGATACATTTAGTAGTAAATTTTGTCTTCTTTCAGACTTATCACATACTGCTATCACATTCTCTTAAGGGAATGAGAATGGAGCAAATTCAATGGGACGGGTTTTCAATTCTTTGCCCATAATCACACATGAATTTGATCATGGCGAGGCATAGAAATTTTACCACTTCAGGTGGTTATAATTTCTTACAAACTCCATTAGAGTTATAATCAAATTTTGTTGTCTTTGCTTGTATTTAAAATCAAAGTATAGAATAAAAGAGAAAAATACGGTAAAATACTTACCTTAAATCCAGAATTTAATCACAAAGGAAGTTCATGGAACAATTGACAATCATTATGCTCAATCTCAAAGTTTCTACTCAATTGGTTAGAGTCTCGTGCTGATAACGTGTTATGAAACAATAAAAGAAGAAGAAGAATATTGCAGAGAAAAGTAGGGAGAGAGAATTCTTATTGATTTGGGATGAATTACAATAGAATAGAACCCTCTATTTATAGGGAGAGAGTGACTTAGCCACCAAGCAATGAACCCTAGAATCTCTCTAAATATAGACATTCACCATAAATACAATTCTATTTATAACAATACCGAAATTCTTGTGAAATTATGCCTTAATCATTGATGCCTATTAATAATTGTGTCCAATATTATATGCTAATTTTTTAAAGATGATTTTTCTTTTCCATTTGCACCCATAAAAAATATCCATAAAATAAGAAAGTGTCATCATTACATTTTAGTGGCTACCATGTTTAGGCTTCAAAAAGTTGTCAACTATGAAAAAGTCAGAAGACAGAGATTCTAATTAAGGACAAATATATAAAATACTCTCCTTAAAATAAATAAACAATAAATAAAAATAAGTAAAAAATGAATTTCCATTCCTAAAATTATGCTAGGCTTTCTGGTTAGGAATAACCTGCAATGCATTTCCATTGAATGAATGAAAATATTGCTTTAACATCATTTTTCTTTATTATAATTAAAGAAGAGTCAAACCTAAATTTCTTTTAGGGTTTGAGTCCATTTTGAGTTTTTGTTTCCAAATTCAACAATTTTTTTTTTTTTATGTATTTCTCTATACAACAAAAGCAAATGATTGATTTTAGGTGAATTATCATCTTCTTGAATAGCCTTTGGAAGAAGAAATATTTGAAGAGATGACCACAAAAGTGAAAGGCCTTCTTAAAGGCCTTAGGTACATTTCTCAAGTTTTTGGTGAGTAAATGATTTTTTTAATTATACAAATTTTCAAAATTATTTCACATTTTCCTTTGTGGGTATTTTTGGATTTGTTGAAAATGATTGTTCTATATGATTGGAAGAAAATGTATGTTACTAAGTCGAGCGATCGAGCTATTGAGTAAGTCTCAAGAATTGAATCAGTTGAGATCGACGGTATGAATCATTTATATCTGTTTCTCGTTGTATGGTGCAGATGAGGATAAAGAAAAAGAAATGCAAATTGGTTTTCCTACAGATGTAAAACATGTTGCACATATAGGATGGGATGGTCCATCAGTTGATAATCCAAGCTGGGTAATAATTATTTTACTTGTATTTCTTATGTTGATTATTCATCTCTTATTTTTTTTACTTTTTTTTTTACTCGGTGTCCGGTACTTATATTGGGGTCGGATTAAATCCGAATTCGCGCTGAAAAGTTCCACTTTGGGGGTTAAAACGCTCCCTAACAAAGGCTAGTCCATACCCAGGGCTCGAACCCGAAATCTCCGATTAAGGATGGAGTACTTATTATTCTGCCACAACCCTTGTTTGTTATTCATCTCTTATTCAACTACTTGGTTTACCATAATTGTTACAAGAAATGTATTGAATCGATTCTTTTTTTAATGAATAAACGCGATTTTTAATCGTTTCGATTAAATGTTTTTGGCAGATGAAAGAATTTAAATCACCAGGAGCATTTCAATCAGCTCCTTTGGTTCCTCCTCCTGCAGATCTTAAAGAAAATCCTGACATTAAATGGGTTTCTGAAGGTTTGTTACCTTTTTACCTTTATCTTTTTTTAATTTATGTGATATTTTTTCATTTTTAAATGTTTCAATGCTCAAAAAGTTTGACACTAATAAGGAAAAAAAATTCAAATTTACCCTTGTACTTTGCGAAAAATAACTTTAACCTCTGTTAGAAGTTTGGCTCATCCATGGCCTCGATATTCCCTTTCTTCACAAATTTCAAGAATTCATAGTCGTTTAACTAATCAAATAGTGTCATATAAAATGAGACAGAGAAAGTATATGCTTATATCTGACCTTATACAACCAACAAAGATCGTTGTATTCCGCGATTTGTATTATAAAGTATCCTGATTGTGTATATTTCCTTACTACACTAGCTCGAACTTTAAATCTTAGATTGGCCTATTATTCTGAAAGGATTGATGGTGTGTTATATTTTTGTACAATATGTCAATGGAATTGCAGATTCAAACAGAAGGTCTAGAAATGCAAATAGTTCATCTCCAACCAAAGACATTAAACCAAGAACATCCAGGAGACATTCTACTACAGAAAATGGCACTCATGATTCTACAAACAAAGAACCTGGAACCAAATCCAGGAGTTCCAGGCGACATCATAACAAGGAAACAACGTCCGATGGTCATAAATCGAGTGAATCTTCAGCTAAAAACAACCCTGATATCCCCAAAAAATCGCGACGAAAGAAGTCCAAGGAGGATGGTTCGGCCTCTGGCTCGACTCGACCATCAAGATCTAAAGGCACTTCTTCTACTACAACACAAACTACAGATTCAGGTCCTGGACAGGAAAAGGAGAGCGAGAGTAGTGGAATTTCTAAAGAAAAACAAGAGGAGTGAAAAAAATAAGAATGTATCTGAAAAGTTTTTTTTTTTTTTTGGCAGTTTAGTGAATATCACAATTATTTTGAAACCACAAAAGTTTTCATTCAAAATTGTAGAGTATGTGTATAATCTAACTTTTTGATACCATGTTCATCATGTAGATTCATTTCCCATTTTCATAATCATTCTTTTTCCAAAGCCTTGCAACTTCATTACTATGAATTGATGAATGGTTCTTGCCTCTTCGAGACAGCGGGATCCAGGATTTGGAGTTTATAAATTTTTACAACAACCTCAAGTTAAATTTACAAACATAACTAGTTTTAGAGTCAAATATTTATATATGTTTATTGAATTCCTTAATATATATATATATATATATATATATAGTATCCAGACAAAAGCTACTGGTTCACGTGAACATGTAAACGAGGCTCTAAATCCGCATTTGTTTATTATTGCCCTGTATCCACTTTAAATGAAGCTGATTCAAGATCTTAATGTACATATCCAAAGAGGGTGTCTGCTGACAAATTCAATTCCACGTACTGTCAAATTTCTACATTCATGTGTTAAAATTGACAAACAATGTCATGTCGTGCCCATTCCTATGACTATTTCTTTAATACTTTTGGCTCTCGGGAGTCTTTTTATAGTATACCGATGTCATGGTGCGCCCATTCCTATAACTATTTCTTTAATACTTCTGGCTTTGGCTCTCGACCAAATTATGACCGGTTAGCTCATAAGTCACAACATCAAATGTGAATAAAAATACCAAACCTTTCTGACATTTTTTCTTTGAGGTCCAGTACTTTGTTTCCCATAAAAGTGGCAAGTGGATCTACACCGGTATGCAGGGTGAAAACAAATAAGATAGTGTCGCTTGAGATGGTTTGGTCATGTCCTGCATCGGCCTACAAATGCACCGATAAGTAGGTGTGAAATTATAGTGAGTGAAGGTGTTAAAACGGTCAAAATAGCGTGGCATAGCCACTTTTATGGGTGGCTATCGAAAAATAGCCACCGTCCGTGATGTCATTGATTTCTAGCCATTTTAACTTAAAATAGAATGTAAAATGACATTATTGCCCTTGCACGCTTTAACATACTCTTTAGTAACTTTTTACTCTTTGTTTGCACAGCAGCGCGTGCGGGTTTCGTCAGAGCACTTTTTTTCGAATCCTTGATCGTTTTAGCTCTAATTTTCTTCAAAATTCTCTGGGTGAGTTTTGTTTTTACAATAATGTGTTTGATTCACGTTCTTATTGTTGTTTCGTTATGTTTAAGTTTGATTTACCGTACCGTTAGGGTTTAAATAATTATTTTTTGTGTTCATTATTTTGTTTTGTTTCTGATAATTTTATCACTTTGTTCTAGCATATATTATTTTGTTTTGTTTCAATCCAGTATAATATATAGGATATCACCTGTGTGTAATTTTTTTTCCATTATATTATGCTGGAGGAGTTGAGTTTGGTCTAGCATATAGTTGAGTTTTGTTTCAATTCAGTATAATATACGGGACATCACATGTGTGTAATTTTTTTTCCATTATATTATACTGGAGGAGTTGAGTTTGGTCTAGCATATAGTTGAGTTTTGTTTCAATCCAGTATAATATACGGGACATCACATGTGTGTAATCTTTTTCTCCAGTATATTATACTGGACGAGTTGAGTTTGGTCTAGCATATAGTTGAGTTTTGTTTCAATCCAGTGATAATATACAGGATATCACCTGTTTGTAATCTTTTTTTCCATTATATTATACTGGAGGAGTTGAGTTTGGTCTAGCATATAATTGAGTTTTAATATACAGGACATCACCTGTGTGTAATCTTTTTTTCCATTATATTATATTGGAGGAGTTGAGTTTGGGATAGCATATAGTTCAGTTGTTTCAATCCAGTATAATATACAGGACATCACCTGTGTGTAATCTTTTTTTCGATTACATTATACTGGAGGAGTTGAGTTTGGGCTAGCATATAGTTGAGTTTTGTTTCAATCCAGTATAATATACAGGACATCACGTGTGTGTAATCTTTTTTTCCATTATATTATACTGGAGGAGTTGAGTTTGGGATAGCATATAGTTGAGTTTTGTTTCAATCTAGTATAATATACAGGACACCACCTGTGTGTAATATTTTTCTCCAGTTATATTATACTTGGACGTAGTTCTGTTTAGGATTAGAATATTATAGGGGGAAATCTATCATATGAATGTTTGGCTTCCAGTATGTTATACTGAATGAATATTATAATATAGACAAGTATTTTTTAAGTCCAGTATATTTTACAGGGTTTCTCCTGTGTGTAAGCTTTTTTCTCCAGTATATTATACCGCATGATTATTATGCTGTTTTTCGATTTTCATATCTTGTATTTTAGTCTGATCCAGTATATTATGCTGGAAGACTGCAATCTATAGACTGTTCTTCTGTTCATTTTAGTGAATGAGTTATTTTGATAATTTATTTCTCATATATATACTGGGATTCTGATTGTGTTTATTATCTGATTTGTAATATGTTTTTTTTGATGATTTTATAGAAATGGAATCATCAAGTTATATATTGAAGGTACGTATTTCTAAAATGTTGAAGTTTTTATCTTAAAATTACATGAAATGTTGCTTATCTGTGTTATATTTTGATTTTAGGAGGGAGATCGATTTTATGATCTTAAGAAGTGGTTTGCTGCTGATTGTTATTGGAAAGGCGATCGAAAATTTAAGAAAACAATTTCAGAGTTTTTGTGTGGAACTCAAATGGAACAGTTAAAGAATGGTGTGTTTGGGAAATTTTTAGAGTTGGATGACGTGGGTCACTCTGGGAAGTTGACTCATTGTATGTTGCTTTCTCAAGTTTTTTACAAGGATAAAAGCAAAATGGTTTTTAGAGTTTTTGATAACGACGTAGCTTTTACAGAAGATGATTTCCATTCTATAACCGGATTGAAGATTGAGGCATCTGATTATAGTTTTGTTGATGATAGAGATAACCGTTTGAAGAAACGGTATTTCTCTGATGTGCCAAAAGGTTTGAAGGTAGAACATTTGTATAAATTTATCACAAAGCGTTCTCGACTCCGTGATGGTGCAGCAGATGATATATGTGATGATGTCGAGGTCTGTGATGAAGATGCTGTAAAGCTTGCTGAGATATACATATTAGAAACTGTTCTTTTGGGTAAAGACATTAAAAGAAATATAAGTGAACGTAATATGAAAATCATAGACGATCCAGAACTTTGTTCTTCTTTTCCATGGGGGAGTTACTGCTTTCAAGAACTTATTGACAATTTGTCTCATCTTCTGAAAACAGAATCTGTGAAAGACAAACCTATTGGTAGGATCGCATCTTATACGTCACTTGGATTCCCCTTCTTGTTTAATGTATGGATTATGGAAGTGTTCAATGATTTCCGTCAATATTCAATATATGAGGATCGGGGGCCAATAAGGATGTTGTCTTACTCAAGCATTGGATGTCCAAAATATGACTCACTTTGCGATGATTTCTTTAAGAAAACAACTGTAAGTTAATCGTATGTGAATTTTTAATTTATACTTGTGCTCATATATTTTGTTTTTATCTAACTATTTATATTTCTATTTAATTAATAGAAATATAAGCTTTTCAAGGTGAATCAATCATATCTTCTCCAATCTTCATCAAAAGTTAATGTTAGCGACATTGTCAATGTAAGTAGTTGTTTCTTCTATTTTATTTAGTCTTGCATTTCATTAGGTAGACTAGTGTGTGTTTTTGTTGTCCGGTATGTTATACAGGAATGAGTTTTCATTCCTTCTGATTCATGTCATCTAGTATAATTTACAGGTAATCTAGTGTGTGTTACCTTGTCCTCCTGTATGTTATACTTGGTCAGTTTTTATTTCTTCTGGTTCATGTCATCCCGTATAATTTACAGGTAGTCTAGTGTGTGTTACCTTGTGAATAATTATTTGTCTTTTTGTTTTATAATATACCCTTTGATTATTTTAGTTCTTTATATCATAGTATTTTTTTCTGGAGTTTTACACCTTTAAATTCATTTCATTCAGTATATTATACTGGAAGACTGCCAGATGTAGGCTGTTTTGTCCACTATAATATACTGGATAAGTCTAATATTTCATTTCATTATGTTTTTTAGTTCTAATAATTTACTCTACAAAATTATATTCTACTCTTTATTGAATTGTTTTTACACTCGATAAGAATGTTTAACCGTTATGATTCTCTAATTCTTACCATTTTTCTTTTCTTTTCAGAGGGTATCTGACAAAGTTGAAGAGATTGTACGTGAGGATAATAATAAATTTCAAATAGAGATGAAAACAAAAATTAAAGATAATCGAAAAAAGTTGAAGAAGTATGTTAAGAGCGCTGTTAAGGTAATTAACTAGTTTGGCAATTTATTTTACTATTGATTTTTTTTCTATAATAATATATTGTATTCATTAATGCAGGAAATCAATGACAAGCTTGATGTTGTTGTAAAGTTTATTAAAGATTTAAAAAATCATGATGAAAGCAATGAAAACCATGAGGAAAGCAGTGTGAAAGGCAATCAAAAGCACGAGGCAGATGAAAGTACTGAAGACAATGAGGAAAGCAATGAAAAGCATGAGGAAGATGAAAGTAATGAAAAGCATGAGGAAAGCAGTCAGAAAATCAATGACCAAAGAAATTATTCTGATGGAGAGAATTATGATGGAGATAATTATTGTGATAGAGATTTTTCAAATTTGTCGGGAGACAAACAGAATGAAAAAGAGGAAGATGGTGAGTTACTGGAACAAGATGAACTGTGCAATAAGGAGTTTGAGTATGTAAGACCTTCTATTTCAATGGCACCAAATAAGGAGAGTGACAATGAAGGTCGAGCACATGTTGATTCAATACCATTAGTTATGGATATTGACTCAGTTCATCCAGCACAAGTTAATGGAGAAGATGTACCAGGCACTGGAATTTTATTGCAAGATCCTTGTAATGAATTAAGGCCAGAATGTAATGCAATTGAACCAGTTCTGACAGCAGGTACAGAAAGTTTGACGGTTAAAATAGGTGATGGGAAACAAGAGCTTTCTACACCACATTCCAGTGAAAAGATTTTACAAAATACCACAGCTGGATCATTAATTCCATCAGCCATGAATGTTGAATCAGCCCCACATGAAACTGTAGTAGGTGTTGGATGTTTTGATGAAGAGACTACTAATGAAAAAGCAGCAAATGATGCAAATTCAGAGGAAATTTCTTATGATGAAGTAAGAGTGGAATGTAGTGCCCCTGATCGTCAGTCAACTGGCACTGATGTTGATGCTATCTGGCAAAAAATAGCTGATGGGACATATCAAATTTCAACACCACAGTGCAGTCAAGATAATAAGGAAAATTGTGGAGCTGTGTCATCAAAGATACCACCAATGGATATTGAATCGCTCAAAGATGCACAAAATAAGAAATGCAGTGATCAAGGTGGACCAACTGGTGCAGATGTAATGAAAGGTCTTATTTGTAATGAAGAAATAACAAATTGTGGTCCAGATGAGACTGATCTTACAGCTGGTAGTGATATTGATTCTCTAATTAGAAAAATAAGTGATAGACAGAAAGATGGTCACCACAGTCTAGTCAAAATATTCTGCAAAGTAACATAATTGCAGTCTCTCAGGGAAGTGTAACAGATGGTGTAACATGAGGTATAACAGGAGGTACAGATATTGAAAAAGGAAATATAATTTTGGATTCACCTGAAGTGGAACAGGTTATTCCTATAGTTAATGTGAATGAAGCATCTGGAGCAAAGGAAAGAGAACCCGAGACTGGTTTGGCAAGTCTTTCTGAAATGTGCATCCAAGAAAGTAAAGATAATTTTGAAGGAGATGAAAGGGAGTTGAAAGGAAAAGCACATCTTGTTGTTGATGAAATTATTGAAAAGATTCAGCAGGTTAGTGTGCGGAGTTTTGTTGTTTCCTGTGTCTAAGTTTTTTTTCTAGTATGTTATATTGGATTAGTTCTGTTTAGACTAGAATTTTGTTTTATTTGCCAATTCCTTTTTTGAGTTATAATTTTTTTGTTTTTTTTAATTATGCTCTTCAAAAAAATACTTGAGTTTTGTTTGATTTCAGTATCTTTTAATGGAAGTGTGTCGTATTTAAGCTTGATTGTCCAATATGTGTTAAATGTTTATATTATAAGAGAAATCTATTTTCTCAGGGAAGTGAAACAGATGCTGCACAGGAGGTACAGATGTTGAAGCCATTTTTCGCGATATTGAAAAAGAAAATATAATTTTGGATTCACCTGAAGTAAAACAAGTTATTCCTATAGTAAATGTGAATGCAGCATCTGGAGCAAAGGAAAGAGAATCTGAGACTGGTTTGGCAAGTCTTTCTGAAATGTGCATCCAATAAAGTAAAGATAATGTTGAAGAAGTTGAAGAAAAAGCACCTCTTGCTGTTCATGAAATTAGTGAAAAGATTCAGCAGGTTAGTGTGCACAGTTTTGTTATTTTCTGTGTCTAAGTTTTTTCTCTAGTATGTTATACTAGATTAGTTCTTTTTAGACTAGAATTTTGTTTTATTTGTCAATTCCTTTTTTGAGTTATAATTTGTCTTTTTTTTTTATTTATTAGGCTCTTGAAAAAAACATTTGAGTTTGTTTGGTTTCCAGTATGTTATACTGGATGATTATTATATTATAGTTCAGTTTTGTTTGATTCCTGTATATTTTACAGGATATCTACGCTGTGTAAGCTTGTTGTCCAGTATATTATACTGGATGAATTCTGTTTAGACTAAAAAATTTTTAGTTGTTATTTATTTTTTGAATGATTAATAGTACTTTTTTTTATTGTCCTGTGAATCTTTGCTTTCCAATATTTTATACTGGATGATTATTATATTATGGTTGAGTTTTGTTTGATTCCTGTATATTTTACAGGAATTCTAACGTGTTTAAGCTTGTTGTCCAGTATATTATACTGGAAAACTAGCATCTGTATATTGTTTTGTCTAGTAAATTATACTGGATATGTATAATTTACTTCATTTCATTATGTTTTTTAGTTGTAATAATCTCTCCATTTCTTTTTTGCTTTTTTTGAAGCAGGGAAAATTATATACTAGTAAACGAAAGAGGAATTCTGTGGATTCGTTCCCTAATTTTAATATTTTGTCTCAGTCAAGTATATCAAATTATCCTGAACCTACTGTTGATCACACCCCTGCTGAACAATCTGTTTCTGCTGATATACAAAAAAATGATTCTGATAAAAATATTATTTTATATTCAAGTGTGGATGAGGGCTGATATACAAAAAAATGATTCAGATAAAAATATTGTTTTATATTCAAGTGTGGATGAGGGAATTTATGTTTCTCCTCTTAAAGTTGCTAAGTCTGTTTCTCAACTAGATGATAAGAAGTTACAAGGTGAAAATGAAAAAGAAAATTTTGCTTCCTGTAAAGGAAAAGAAGTGGCAGGAGCACAAGTACCGCAGATTGCACAAAGTGCGAATTTAGAAGAAGAATTGCTTGGTAGAGGAAAAAGAAATCGTATGTTATATTGTATTAGTTCTGTTTAGACTAGAATTTTGTTTTATTTGCCAATTCCTTTTTTGAGTTCTAATTTGTCTGTTTTTTTTTAATTATGCTCTTCAAAAAAATACTTGAGTTTTGTTTGATTTCAGTATCTTTTAATGGAAGTGTGTTGTATTTAAGCTTGATTGTCCAATATGTGTTGAATGTTTATATTATAAGAGAAATCTATTTTCTCAGGGAAGTGAAACAGATGCTGCAACAGGAGGTACAGATGTTGAAGCCATTTTTCGCGATATTGAAAAAGGAAATATAATTTTGGATTCACCTGAAGTAGAACAAGTTATTCCTATAGTAAATGTGAAATGCAGCATATGGAGCAAAGGAAAAGAGAAACCTGAGACTGGTTTGGCTAAGCTTTTCT